TTTCTTTCTTTCTTTCTTTCTTTCTTTCTTTCTTTCTTTCTTTCTTTCTTTCTTTCTCTCTCTCTGTCTCTCTCTCTCTCTCTCTCTCACACACACACACACACATGCTTTTTAGAGACAGGGTTTCTCTGTGTAGTCCTGGCTGTCCTAGAACTCACTCTGTAGACCAGACTGGCCTCGAAACCACAGAGATCTGCCTGCCTCTGCCTCCTGAGTGCTAGGATTAAGGACATGTGCCACCACTATCTAGCTAATTTTTGTCATAATTACAGAGAAGAATTCAGGTTAATTCAAAGCAATTTTTATTTCAATAAAATAAAAAATAATTGCATTATATAAAAAAATTGATGTGAAAATTATATGGGTCATAATGAAGTTTGTCCCAAAGCTAAAACACAACAGAAGCTATCATCTAGCTGAAAAGCCATTTGTAGTTATATAACGATTGATATATTAGCATTCACATTGTCTTTTGGGCTGGAGCCTTAGCCTGCTGAGAATATTTGCTTGGCATGTTTAAGGCGTCCAACTTAATTCTTAACACCACCTAAAAGATCAATTCTGGGCCTAAAATAGTCAGTCGAAATCTTCAGTGCTTACTAGTGTCTTGGACAAAGAAAGATACAGAAAACAGTTGTTCTCAAGCTAGAGCTTAGGAAGCCAGGACTAAGCTGGACAGTGCTGGCACCCTTGGGAGGCATAAGCAGATGGATCTCTAGAAATTTGAGGCCAGCCTGGTCTACAGAGAGAGTTCAGGACAGCCAGAGCTACACAGAGAAACCCTGTCTCAAAAAAGAAACAAACAAACAAAAGGGAGGGGCCAGGGCTATGACTGCAAACCTGGCACCTGCCACTGTGTGTCAATCTGTTTTCCTTAGCATCTGTTGTAAAATAATGCTTAGGAGCCTAAGAGATTTTTGCTGAATGTCAGGATTCTCTTAATGCGCTGCAAGTATTAAAGACAGAGGGCTTGGCCTGTAGAGTGGATTGTTTTAACTTAACAATTACAGAATCACAAGCAACCCCCCAAAAGCTTTGAGTGTGTACTCGGTGAAAATGAAACTTGAGTATCTCTAGTATAAGCCCAAGTTCTTCCAAAGAATAAACCATCTCTTAATCATATAATGTAGTGCTTTTGTGTTTATGTTCTTTATTCACACTTAATTCTTTATGCATCTTTCTTTTTCCTTTAAAATTTGCTTTCGCAGATTTCCTCACTCTCCTCCACCTACAAGATCATGGAAATCTCAATGGAAATGCCATTTGAAGAATTTGAGAACTACTCCTATGCCTTAGACTACTACTCCCTGGAGTCTGAATTGGAGGAGCAGGTGCCTCTGGAAATTGTTCACTGGATCTCCCTCCTCTTGTATGTCCTAGCAATTGTTCTGGGAATTCCAGGGAATGCCATTGTCATTTGGTTCATGGGATTCAAGTGGAAGAAGACAGTCACCACTCTCTGGTTCCTCAATCTGGCCATTGCAGATTTCATTTTTGTCCTCTTCCTGCCCCTGTACATCTCCTACGTGGCCTTGCGTTTCCACTGGCCCTTTGGCCTGTGGCTTTGCAAAGCTAATTCCTTCATTGCCCAGCTGAACATGTTTTCTAGTGTTTTCTTTCTGACAGTGATCAGCCTGGACCGCTATATCCATTTGGTCCATCCTGTCTTGTCTCATCGGCACCGAACCCTAAAGAACGCACTGGTGGTTGTTTTATTTGTCTGGCTGTTGGCCTCTCTGCTTGGAGGTCCTACCCTGTACTTCCGGGATACTCTGGAGGTCAATAACCACATTATTTGTTATAACAATTTCCAGGGGCATGACCCTGACCTCATCGTGGTGAGACACCATATTCTGACCTGGGTGAAGTTCCTTTTTGGCTACCTCCTCCCTTTGCTGACAATGAGCTCCTGCTACTTGTGTCTCATCTTCAAGGTGAAGAAGCGAAACATTCTGATGTCCAGTAAGCATTTCTGGACCATCCTTTCTGTGGTCATCGCCTTCATGGTTTGTTGGACTCCTTATCACGTGTTTAGCGTTTGGGAACTCACCCTTCACCACAACAGCTCTTTCCAGAGCATGCTGCAGGGGGCAATCCCTCTGTCCACTGGCTTGGCCTTCGTCAATAGCTGCTTGAACCCCATCCTTTACGTTCTAATTAGCAAGAAGTTCCAAGCTCGCTTCCGGGCCTCTGTGGCTGAGGTACTAAAGCGTTCACTGTGGGAAGTGAGCTGCTCCGGCACAGCCAGTGAACAGCTCAGGAGCGCTGAAACCAAGAGCCTGTCTCCCCTAGAAACAGCCCAATGAGTACCGCGTCCCTAGAATATCCGTGTGACGCTTTCATGTGAGCCTCATAGCTAATCCTTTCAGATTAAGTGTCATCCTGATCTAAACTGACCGTATTTCTTGTTGTTTTTCTTGAGTGTATCGGCCTCACATGTTCTTGTGGGTATGAAATGCAGGATTCCTTGTTCTCAGTTTAAATGATGTCTCTTTCTGGATGCCCTCTGGTGGCGATTGTGACACTGACCGCCTAAAACTTTCTCCCACTGTTTTTGCCTGCCTCTATTAATGTACTGCAGTATATGTATCAGATTAAATTAAAAAAAAATTATAATGTATACCACATTATATTAAATCACCTCTATTGAAAAGGCATATTAAATCATCTCTATTGAAAAGACATCAGGCTGTTTGGTTTTTCTGTTTGTTTGCTTTTGGGTAATTTTGTGTGTGCATGCTTGTTCATATGCGTGGAGATGCACATGTATGGAAAGTATACTAAAATGAGTGTTGTTCCTCAGGAACCACCCAATTTATTTATTTATTTTTGAGACAGAGTCTTGCACTTGCCTAGAGCTCACCAAGTAGGCTAAGGTGGCTAGCCAGCAAGCCCAGACATCTGCCTCTGCTACACCCTCAGTTCTCTTATGGTTATGAATATCACTCACACAGCATTGTTTCCACTGTAGTCAATTGATCAAAGCAGGACTAGGATATCTCAGAATCAGAGGAGACAGCCCTCTTGCCCCTTTATGAGACGTGTCTACAATTTTGCGTTTATTTCTAGTCCTCTAGAATATAAAATTCTGACTGTATGTAAGTGTGTAGGTTACTATAAACATAGAACACATTTCCAGATGGTGTAGGGGTGGCCCCATCTCAGAACCGCTTCGAACAGCAAGCATTGCTGGCACGGTTCTTTTGTTTCCATGAGCACCAGTATAAGCTGAATAAAGCTAGCTTTATGCCAGTGTTCTCAATGGAGAATTCTCAAGCACTATGGATCCCCAGGATACCAAGTGCTGCCCTCTGCCGGCTCTCGCCGCTCTGACACGCTCTTCCACTTGTTCCTCAGCTGGTACTCATGGTTCTGACATGGTCTTCTGCCGGCCTTCATGCTTCTGCGACAGCCCTCGGCTCGTTTTCATGGTTCTGAAACAGCCCTCAGTTGGTTCTTAGGACTCTGGCAGAGGCCCCTTAGGGTTCTAAAATAGCCCTCAGTTGGTTCTTAGGGCTCTGAAATAGCCCTCAGTTGGTTCTCATGGTTGTGACATGCGCCCCAGCTGGCTCTCATGGGTCTGACACTGCCCTCTGCTGGCCCTCACGATCCTAACAAACTTGAAAAAAATTACCTCTGTTCTTTAGGCTGGTCTGTTGAAGTACATTATCCTTAGTGCATGCTTTAATGAATATATGTATCTGATCCAATACATCTTTACAATGTGAAGCTTCCGTCACTAGAGGTAGTCATAGCCTAAGGCCAGACTGAGAGCAAGAGCACTGCCTGATGAAGGCAAATAACCCTGATCCAGCTACTCTTCTGGATCCCTATCTATGAAATACGGAGTTTTTGTTTTTAAGACAAGGTTCTTTCTTTTCTTTTCTTTCCTTTCCTTTTTTCTTTCTTTCTCTCTCTCCCTTTTCCTTCCTTCTTTCTTTCTCTTCTTTCTTCCTTCCTTTCTTTCTTTTTTAAAGATTTATTATGTATACAGTGTTCGTCTTGTATGCTAGAAGAGGCTACCATCTCATTATAGATGGTTGGGAGCCACCATGTGGTTGCTGGGAGTTTAATCAGGACTTCTGCAAAAGCAGCCTGTGCTCTTCATCTCTGAGCCATCTCGCCAACCCCAAGACAAGGTTTCTTTGTGTACCAAACAGTCCTCAGACTCACTCTGTAGCCCAGGCTGGCCTTGAACTCAAGGGTCTTAACACCTCTGCCTACTAAGTGCTGGCATTAAAGGTGTGCACCACCACTGCCTGGCTCACAAAATACAGAAAGATGTAATTTAAAAAAGATGTAATGTCTAAACTGTAAAAAATCAATTATAGATTTTTAATTTTTTGTATTAATTACAATTTATTCACTTTGTATTCCAGCTGTAGTCCCTCCCCTCAATCCCTCCCAATCCCACCCTCTCTCCCTCATGTCCTCCAAGGCCTCTAAGTCCACTGATTGGGGAGGTCTTCCTCCCCTTCCATCTGATCCTAGTCTATCAGGTCTCATCAGGACTGGCAGCATTGTCTTCCTCTGTGGCCTGGTAAGGCTGAAGGAGGTGAACAAAGAGCCAGCCACTGAGTTCATGTCAGATACAGTCCCTGTTCCTCTTACTAGGACACCCACTTGGAGACTGAGCTGCCATGGGCTACATCTGTGCAGGGATTCTAGGTTATCTCCACGCATGGTCCTTGGTTGGAGTATCAGTCTCAGAAAAGACCTGAGTCCAGATTTTTTGGTTCTGTTGCTCTCCTCGTGGAGCTCCTATCCCCTCCAGGTCTTTCTATCTCTCCCATCTTTCATAAGATTCCCTGCACTCTGCCCAAAGTTTGGTTGAGTATCAGCATCTGCTTGATACGCTGCTGGGTTGTCTTTCAAAGGCCCTCCGTGGTAGGCTCCTGTCCTGTTTCCTGTTTTCCCCCCTTCCGATTTCTGTCCTGTTTGCCTGAGTGAGGATTGTTCATATCACCTAGGGTTGTCCTTCTTGCTTGGCTTTAGGTGTACAGAATTTAGTATGTTTACCCTATATGTCTAATATCCACTTATAAGTGAGTATATACCATGTGTGTCTTTCTGCTTCTGGGATAGCTCATTCAGGATTATCTTTTCTAGATCCCACCAGTTGACTGCAAATTTCATGGTTTCCTTGTTCTTAATTGCTGAGTAGTATTCCATTGTGTAAATGTACCCCAATTTCTGTATCCATTCTTCAGTTGAGGGGCATCGGGGTTGTTTCCAGGTTTGTGTAATAGCAAATAAAGCTGCTACACAACATGGTTAAGCAAATGTCCTTGTGTACTTGACAATATTTTGTATATATGCCTAGGGTGGTATAGCTGGATCTTGAGGAAGCACTATTCCTAATTGTCTGAGAAAGTGCCAGATTGATTTCCGAAGTGGTTGTACAAGTTTACATTCCCACCAGGAGTGGAGGACGATTCCTCTTTCTCCACATCTTCTCTAGCATGTGCTGTCACTTAAGTTTTTGATCTTAGCCATTCTGATGAGTGTAAGGTGAAATTTCAGGGATGTTTCGATTTGCATTTCCCTGATGACTAAGGACGTTGAACATTTCTTTAAGTGTTTCTCTGCCATTCAATATTCCTCTACAGAGAATTCTGTTTAGCTCTGTACCTAATTTTTTAATTGGATTACTTGATTTGTTGCTTTAACTTCTTGAGTTCTTTATACGGTCTGGATACGAAAGACAAAAGGGCTGAGAAAGAAATTAGGGAAACGATACCCTTTCCAATAGCCACTAATAACAAAGTACCTTGGTGTGACTCTAACCATGCAAGGGAAAGAGATGTTTAAAAAAAAACTTCAAGTCTCTGAAGAAAGAAATTGAAGATATCAGAAGATAGAAAGATCTCCCTTGTTCATCCATTGGTAGGACAAACATAGTGAAAATAGCCATCCTGCCAAAGGCAATCTACAGATTCAATGCAATTCCCATAAAATACCAACACAATTCTTTACAGGCCTTGAAAGAACAATTCTCAATTTCATATGGAAAAACAAAAACCCAGAATTGCCAAAACAATCCTGTAGAACAGATTATCTGGAGGTGTCTCCATTCCTGACCTCAAAAGCTGTACTACAGAGCAAGAGTAATAAAAACTGCATCGTACTGGTATAGAAATAGAATGGTGGATCAATGGAATCGAACAGAATACTTGATTTTTGACAAAGCCAAAACTATACAATGGAAAAAAAACACAGCATCTTCAACAAATGGTGCTGGTTTAACGAGTTCCATATTTATCACCCTGCATAAAACTAAAGTCCAAGTGGATCAAAGACCTCAACATAAAACCAGACACACTAAATCTGTTAGGAGAAAAAGTGGGTAAGAGCCTTGAACTCATTGACACAGGAGACAACTTCCTGAACTGAACACCAACAGCACAGGCTCTAAGAGCAACAATCAATAAATGGGACCTCATGAAACTGAAAAGCTGTAAAGCAAAGGACACTGTGGTCAGAATAGCTTAGATTGGGAAAGGACCTTCACCAGCCCTATGTGCCAGGTTTTAAACACAAAGCTGACGTATTCAATGTTGGCTTCCAGGGTGCTACAGACCCCAAGTTTTCCCAATGAGTAGCTTCAGCATACGGACTATCCCAGCACCACACTCCCAAATTCAAGGGAGCACTACCCCACACTGAAGCACATTATGAGCCTACACAAGATCATAGAATGAATTAAGCCTGGGAACCTCTAGTACCTTGTTTGGGGGGGATGGAGGGACTGGAGAGATGGCTCAGTGGTTAATACTTAAGGACCTGGGCCCCAAAAGGCATAGTCCCTAACATCCATTTAGAACTATCTACAGTTCTGGGGATCCAACACCCTCTCCTGAACCTCTCAGGCACCGCCATGCATGTGGTACCCATACATGTGGAAGTCAGAGCACCATTTTCCAGATCTGGCACTCTACTCCCACCTAGGCTCCAGGGACTGACTGACCCCAACACTAAGCACCCTTAGTGGCCCAGTCACCGTACTGGCCAAGATTTACTTTTTTTAAAAAAAATTAATCTTAAGATTAATGGTCATAATTATTATCAACCAATACCATGTATTGCAGACAGCCACAGAATTTTATCATTAATGGCTACAATATTATACTGTAATTGCTAAATGTTTAATAAGTATACATTGTTTTTTTTTTTCCAAACTGCCTATGACATGGCACATATAATGTTGGTTAAAAAACCTCAGGTTGGTCTGCTCATCAAGCTTGGCTTAAACAGCCAAACTTATGAGTCATATAGACACTGAATCCTCTCCCTTAGAATGAAGACATACAGTACTTCTCAAAGTAGAATCAACAGCCAAGGCTTATCTTTCATGCTTTTATTTAAGTGCTCTGACTTGAGGATGACTTTAG